AGACACATACAGCTGAGTATCATCAGCGTACATATGTCCCGTGCAGTACTTTAGGTCCTTCAATAACTTCGAAGTGTATATATACAAAAGCAACAGGCGCCCGAGAATCGACCCTTGTGGTACTCCTGCAAAAACAGCACGACGTTCAGAAAAGTTTTGCTTCACCTTAACCATCTGGAACCTGTCACAAAGGTACCACCTAAAAAGACTCAAAGCCACCGTACTAAACCCCATCCTGGACAGAATATTAAGCAAAGTATTGTGACTAACTGTCTCGAAGACTTTACTGAAATCAAGTAGCATGAGTATTGTAACTTTTCACCTATTCGTAGTAGTCAGTATGTCATCAGTTACCTTCATTAAAGCTGTGCAGCAGCTATGTCCTTCTCTAAAGCCCGACTGACAACATGGTAAGACATCAATTCCCTCTCCAACAGCTTTGATAATACCGGTAATATGTTTATTGGTCTAAGCTCCCGATAAGTAGCGGAATAACGATTGCTGTCTTCCATTGCGAAGGAAAAACACCCTCTTCTAGGCAAACATTAACTATATGAGTAATAAACTGTAAAATATAACAGCCGCAAAGATTTAATGTGTCTATGCTAATATCATCTACACCGGTAGACTTCGATGTTATTGAACGTATTATTATTCCTATTTCATTAATTTCCACATTTCTAAAGCGAAATTCAATTTGATCTTAAATTTCAAAGGCATCTAAATCTGGACCAACAGGCTACAAATACCCACCCGTCCCAGATCATTACACAACTGCCATGAGCTATTATGACCAATATCAACCATCAAATTACTAAAGTAAGCTTTTTTCTTGGACCTTATCGTATTAGTGGTTAAATTTTTTAGTCGTTTGTAATTTTGCCTAAATTAAAGACTAAATTTAATTTTTGCATTATCCCGAAGCCTCATTAACAACTTTACATTTGCGGTGATCCAAGGTAGGGCTTAGTAAATTTTCTGATAATTAAAGGAGCATGTACATTTAGTAAGTTTAAAATAGAATGTGTAAAGAAAGAAACCTTATCATCAATGTTAGGCATACGAAAAATAAAATGTAGGGGAAGGTCATACAGATCAAGCAAAAAAGAATCTATGTTAATAGATGCCAACCCACGGTATGTTTTTAAAACAGGCTCTCTCAAAGAAGATTTACAACATCACAGTATACCATGTTGTGATCACTATAACTACAGTCAACATCATTGTTTATCACAAAGGACGGGTTATTTCGTGGTTATTATCAGATCTATTAATGTAGATGAAACTCTCGTAATTCTAGTAGATTTTTTGATAAGCTGTATCGCCTCTACTGATTCAAGGAAACTCATGTGAAAAATAGATGGATCGTCAAATCAATATTAAAGTCTCCAAGGCAAAAGATATTTAGAGATTCTGATAAGCGCTCATTAAATGAGGTTTCCAAGATATCGTGAAACTCTCTGTAATTTGCTGCTAGAGGTCTGTACACGGTACCGATATGAAAAACCTTAGAACTCACTCTAAGTTTAATCCACAATTGATCAATTCCATTGCCTTTTAGGGTAACCTCATACTTAAATCCATCTTGTATAAACATTCCTACACCACCACCCCTCTCCACTCTATCAAAGCGCTTAAAGTGGAAACCATCCATTATTATATTATCACTTAACTCCGTCATCCAGGTTTCACTAATTGAAAGAATATCCAATTTATTACTATTTATCAACTGTGCCAAGTCATCAATAGGTTTAGAATGAACAGATTGCACATTTAGGTATTGCATCTTAACCCTTTGTTGCCTAACGGTACTCAAAAGTACCACATTATTTAAACAAATAATATTTGGACACCAAGCTTAAAAATACCGTTTGGCCTGACGGTGCTGAAAAGTATATTATTATTTGTCTGTAAAATAAAAAGANTTGTATATTAATAATAATAATAATAATGCCTTTTATTGAATTAAATAAACTTAATTATAATGCATAAATAAAATATGTATGGCACATCAAAAATGTACCCCTGCTCACACCCAACACACTAACGAAAATTTTATTACAAAGCAAAACGCAAGATAGCGAGCAACGTCACGGCAAGCGAGAATAGTTAAAGTAAAAGGTAAAATAAGGCACACCATATACAAATAAAAAATAAATTAAATAAAAAAATCAAAATAAAAGAAAAAACTATTGAGCTCTCATTAGCAAATTGACAAGGGTAGACTTAAAGGCTCTGAGAAATAACATCTTTAGGTAATCAGGCAAATCGTTGTAAAGTACACAAATCTGGTACGTGAATGATCTTCTAAACAGTGACAACTTATACTTAGGAGGAGAAATTCTATATCCCAACCTCGTATTCAGATTGTGCACATCACAACGATATCTTATTTTGGTCAAACACTGGTCAAAATCTTATAATAGAGACAGAGCGTTAACAATTTACGTCTATTGAACATAATTAACCAACCAATGTCACCAAGGTTATGCGAAATACGAGCATACTTTCGAATACCGTATACAAACCTCAAACAAGCATTCTGCACTCTTTGAATGCGTGAAGTATCAATACTATCAATTGAGGCATGGTAAAGCGGAGCACAATAGGCAAAATAAGATAGAACCAGCGAATCACACAGCTGCTTCTTTAGTGTTAACGGCAAAGAGCGACGATGAGGGTATAACGCACGAAGACTGGCCCACCCTTACAAATACCCACCCTTCCCATATCATTCCACAACTGCCTTGAGCTATGATGACCAATATCAACCATCAAATTACTAAAGTAAGCTTTTTTCTCGGACCTTATCGTATTAGTGGTTAAATTTCTTAGTCGTTTGTAATTTTGCCAATCTATATCACGTTTATAAAGCCTAAATTTAATTTTTGCATTATCCCGAAGCCTCATTAACAACTTTACATTTGCAGTGATCTAAAATGTGGTACTCAAAAGTACCACACTATTTAAACAAATAATATTTGGACACCAAGCTTAAAAATACCGTTTGGCCTGACGGTGCTGAAAAGTATATTATTATTTGTCTGTAAAATAAAAAGATAATTTGGAAACTGAGCAGTTAGTCGTTATATTGGTAAACACGAAAAATCAGTGCACGTGGTAGATGTTCGAGGGTATAAATTGGAAACTTTCTTATTGTGTTAGTAGATGGTTCTTCCTAAAAATAAGCGAGAATTTTACATTTTACACATATACAAGTGTTTTTCTACATTGCACTCAGAAGTACCATCAAACTGATTTGGTTTGTGTTTCGGTGAATTTATTTCGTATCATTGTTTTCAGATTGTAACTCTTTTTACCTCGATAAAAATGTGTTGGTGGAAAAATAAGGCTCTTACATATGAAGAACTTCTTGAAGAAGCGAATAAAGTACTCGATGAGTTGGCAAACATGATTATTGATAACAACCCAGAAGGAATTTGTTAGAAGGGACTACAATTTAAAAGATGGTCTAGTAGATATTTTCTTGACATTCCTTAAGCCTGTTGCTGAAATTATAGTTTACCAGTCAAATGTATACGCATTTATGGTATAATATGCATTTATTGATATAAATTCGTTCATGGGCTACCTTCTTGGAAACACTATTGGTCATTATTTTAGCAATGATCTAGGAATTACCTTGGTCACAAACATTATGTCCCGGAATAGATTTGATCAGATTTTATCAAATTTGCATTGCAACAATAATCACACTAATAACGATAAACTGTTCAAACTTCGACCTTTCATTCTAAAACTAAATGAAATCTTTGAATCGTTATATTTCGGTACAAGGGAATTATCCGTAGTTGAATCAATAATAGTATTCAAAAGTGGCTGAGAGGAAAGGTTATATTTTGCGATTCGATGTGTATCAAGAGAAAATTGGTGCTACAAATGAAGAATGGAAGGACTACAGGTTAGGAGAAAAAGTTATTTTATTTCTGACCAAAAAGGAATGGAGCGAAAAAGAGTGCTCTACTCCGATTTTTTTTTCCTCTGTAGCTCTTGTAGAGAAATTAAAATACAACCATAAAAGTAGAAAATATATTTGCGTGTGCAACTACAAGAGCAAACAAAAAGTTTATTCCAAAAAATTTTGTATCTGATAGGCAAATGATACGAGGTGATTATGATTATAGATTCAGTTCACAAAATATAAGGGTTTTCAAGTGAAAGGACAACAAAGTGGTTCACTTTATCTAAAATCTTCACGGTAATACCGAAAATCACGAATGCAAAGAGATGGTTCTTCAGTGGAAGTCCCTTGCCCTAGCGTTGTAAAGGATTACAACAAATTTATGAACGGAGGTACTTATGCCGAGAGACTTAGACAGTGTTACGCAGTGGCAAGACGATCTAAGAAATTATGGCATAAAATTTGTTGTGGACTAATAGATATTGTTTTTGTAAATGACCCTTAAAAAACCCTTTGCTGGAATTTCGGCGAAATGTTGCACTTGGGCTAATGACGTATAACACGAAAAGTGGCAAAAATTCGAAGAAAAGGACATGTACTGAGATCACACTCTGGTTTTTTTTCAGCACTTCTATTTTGTTAGCTATTGTAAAATAAATAAATCTTTTGTACAGTAGTTTCGTAAAAAGCAATAAATAATAATAATCAACATTGAACTTGACACCTTAACAACACCAATAAAAAAAACACTTACTCAGAAACGATTAACTCTAAACGTATATGTCCATTTTGTTGAATATATTTTTTAAAATAGCCACAAAAAAATAACATCATTATAAATGTAGAGAAACATTTATAATGAGCCGTAAACTTTAAACAAAAAATAATGCTTCGCTTTGAATCTAAAAACCACAAAAGATTTTAATCCAAGGAGATCTCGTCTATTATTCAACATCAAAGTTCAAAAACGCGTGTTTCCCCCATTTTAAACTGCTACCCAAAAATAGACATAATAATCTTACCGTAGCCGGTATAAAATAAGAGGGAAAAAAAATAAAAACCATCGATAAAAACCCGAGGAAACTCGTTGATTTCATTTAATACCAAACGAAGCTTCGTCAAGAACATGTCTACGTTTAAAGTTGTTGTTTTCCTTGTTGTTATAGTCACAGTTAATTGCGCATCACTTCGTAAGTTTTAATTAAAAAAATCTATTTTTCAAGTTTTTAATCAAATAAATTGTTTTTAGCTTCGTACATAAAAACATGTGCGAGAACTTTAAGTCCACAAGAATTTTCTAAATGTGCTACCGAAAATGGAAAATTAGCAATTCCCTCTGTCTTGAAAGGTAAGATTATTAATTATTAATTAATTTAACAATAAAAACTAAACAAGTAATTAACAGGTATAAGAAAGAATTAACACTTTCTCTTTTTTAACCTATTGACACGTTTATTTAGTTGCACGATAATTACCCGTTAAATTATCGCCGCCAAGTCTTACAACAACATTGTGTTAGAATTAATGTTAAAATGTCGACCTTTATTCTTCATTTAACGACGGAAAACTACAACAAATGGATTTTACATTAATATTATCAAATCCATTAGCATTAAAACTAAATGGAAACTAAAACCGGTCTCTAATCGATTTTTCAGGTGATGGTTTTTCCTCTTTATGCAAGTCAATTAAATAGGAAATCGCGGTTGAATAGATGAATATCAATTGATTTTACAAGAAATTAAAAAAAAATCTAAAGATTTGCGATTTTCTCTTAAAATGCAAAAGAAAACGTTGCCCATAAATCCTTTTTCGATCTTTATTATAGGTGATAGAACGTTCAAGGTTCCCCCAATGGTTCCTCTTCGGTTGCCAAAAGTCGAATTACAAGCCGGCCAAGGTCTTAAACTAAAAGCAACGGACATAATAGCATCCGGCCTTGACACAGTCAATCTTCAAGATATAACGTAAGCAAAAGAAGGAGATTTCCTTGCTCTTTTTAAAATTATTTCGCAATCTTTATAATTATAATTTCTTATAAAAAAATTGCAATTAATAATTTTTAGCGCCGATTTCGACAATAAAAAATTCACGGCCAAACTTCATTTCGATTATATCACAATTGTTGGGGATTATGAGGTTGATGGAAGATTATTGGTGCCTTTAAGAGGACATGGTCCATTAAATATATCAATTTGTAATGATTCAAATTCGTTTTTAATTAATTTAATTAATTTTTTTTGGGTTTTTAGATGATGTTAATGTTGAATATGGTTTTAATTATGACCTCGTAAAAAAGAACGGAGCCGATTATATAAACGTAAAAAGTGACACTTTAAAATTAAAGAGTCAAAAACAATTTTACAAGTTAGATAATTTGTTTGGAAATCCCAGAATTAGCGAAGAAACCAATAAAGTTTTGAACGAAAACGCATCTGAGATATCAAAAGAATTAAACGGGCCTGTATCCGAAATTATTAAAACGTTAGTAACGCAATTGGTGAAAAATTACATGACTGGGGTTAGCATAGCGGAGATTTTCCCAGAGAAATAATAAGGGTATTAAAATTAAGTTTGGTTGTGTTGTTAAAAAGCGAAATAAATCTTTTGTTCCTTTTACAATCGTTTTTGGTTAATTTTTTTGGTTTTGTTTAAAATAAAAGTAAGGGTGATTTATGAGGACGTTTAAAGTACACACGGCGCTAATTTAGATTTTCAACACTTGCGATAAATGCGAGATCGCGCCGCCTCACTGTGACGCATACATCGACGACGTAATTAGTTCCATCATTTGACATGCACGCTACCTGAACGTGGGACACGCAAACCCAATTCAAATCTCCCCGTCCAACGGGGGTGTTCATAATAAACGAACACCCCTTCAACTTGAATTTCCAACCATTTAATGAACATTTAACCCTAAATAACTTTTTAAACTTATACTGGAAAATGTACATACAAAGCTAACATAACAAAGAAGTCATTATAAAATTTATACAATCAATTTGTGGTGTTTATGTAAATTAAGATTAATCTTTATCAAATCAAACTTAAATACAAATTAAAGCAAATGTATTTCCAATCTAAATAGGGTTGTGCCTAAATAAATAGTACATAATTTTAAGATTTACATAATGGTTTAATTTGTGATGTCGCATATTGGAAGCTAACAGCATGTTGAACATCTTAACCAAATCTATTAACACTGGCATTTCGCAATCTACTTGGGAGATCACACCTTCAGGAGAAGTAAATAAAGACTGAATTCCTATGATAATCTTAATTGCGGATGGTGCCTGGTGTAAACGCTAAACGCTTATACAACGTCAATTACGATGCATCATCCGGAGTGGTACTGCTATACAATAAAATAAAATACTGCTACTTGTATATACAGGAAAATTCAGCTAGGTAGCGAAAGCCGATCAGGGTTATGGTGCTATTAATAATAATAATAATTTATTATGTTAAAACCCGCAGGTATACATTCGTCAATAATATACATGTGTAAGTACAAAAAAGAACAAGAGAAAAAAAAAAGTACAACACAATAGCACAATAAAGTTGAATAGTCATTTCAAAATATAGACATATCACTTATAAACTCATCAATACTGTCTGGCCTTCTCCAACAAAATATTTTTAGTTTTATTGACCGAAGTCTTAAAAGATAAGCCCATTAAACCACCATACACAACATTGTAAAATTTCACCCCATAGTAGTTGTATGCGTTTCTAGATTTTTGAAGTCCCTTGGTTTCGTATTTGTAAATGTCATTATTAGATAATGATAGCAATTCGGTTATAAGTGACATTTCACATGAAGAATATAACAGAAAGAAAGAAGAATTTATTAGAAACTTGCAAAATGGATGCATTAACAGAAATAAAATAGAAGCTAAAGTAGCAATCAGAAATGGATCCATGAAAGATATCTGTGCCTAACTGCATCGAGGTTTGGTAATGTACCTAAGATGAGGAATGACACGTCTTGTATAAATACAGTTAAATCAATCTTGTACTCGAAATTTGCTAGAAACAATAACACTAAACATGGCCAAGACCATGAATGGTTTGCAGTAAAAAAATTCGAAAGTAAATATAATTTGTCAGCAAACCCTTGAGGGCTATTCATCGGTAAAAAGTATGGATTCTTAGTTGCAAGTCCAAATGAAATAATAAAAATCGAAAATGCCATCGTCGAGGTGCAGTGTCCAGCGAATTTGAAATACATTCGCAGCAATAAATCAAAAAAAATTACATTTGCTATCATAAACGCTATTAAGCTAGGTAAGCTTAATAAGCTAGATAGTCTAGCAGATAAGCTAGATTATTCTTGTGGACTTGTCGCAGTCTTTGTGGAAACAATTGGGGTCTTACCCCTGAAAGACTGTACTGGCTCTATGTGACTGTGGTTAGACCTATGATCACATACGGAGCAGCAGCCTGGTATAGGAAAGTCCGACTGACTTCAGTTATTAATAAACTTTCACGAATTCAACGAGTAGCTGGATTAGCAATCTCTAGTGCGAACCCCAACTCTAGCAATGGAGGTTCTGCTTGGCCTATCTCCTCTGGATTTGCATATAGAAAAAGTGGCTAGAACAACCATTTACAGATTTAAGTAATATGCTCAAAACTGGTCCGACATATCCTACCAATGGGCTGCGGAAGACCTTATAAGCACTAATACTGTGCTATTAATGCCGTCAGATTTGGCAGGATCACTATCAGTGATTAATGCTCGATACCAGATTGTACAGCCTAAGCAGCAGTCCTGAATCGAAAATGAAAATTCTCTGGTTCGGGCAGACATTTGCTTGTACGCAGATGGATCAAAAACGCCGGAAGGGGTCGGAGCAGGAGTATACTGCCAGACACCTCGAATTAAGCAAGCTTACAGCCTGGATACGTACTGTACTGTATTCAAGACGGAAATATTTGCTATTGACATGGGTGCTAAAATCTTCCTTCTTGATCCTTCTTGAGGGAGGAGTGAAGAACATGACATTACGAATTTCCTCCAGAAGCTGCAAGCCGTGAAAACGGTGTCGGCTCCGGTTAATGATTGTAAGAGAACATTAAACACACTGAGTTGTGATAACAGAGTTTCTCTGATCTGGGTCACGGGTCACTCTGGGGTTGCTGTCAATGAAGCGGTAGATTAGCTAGCACGAGAGGGCAGCGCTAAAGCGTTTGTGGGACCGGAACCAGCAGTTGGTGTATCATTTGCGATGGCCAAATATAGGATTGGACTGAGGGCTGAAGAGAGACTTCGCCTGCTGTGGACCAGTTCTCCTGGAATGAGATATGCTAAGGTATTTGTTAACATCGCCACTGTCAAACCCGGAAATATTTTAGGACTTGCCTGTAGCAGCATAAATGTTCTAATGGATGTCTTTACTAGGCACTGCTGATTAAAAGCACACCTCAACTTGTTAGGTTTAGCCGACGATGTTGAATGCCGACTATGTGAATTAATGTTCGCTAAGAGCATTGGACTGCACGGTGAAATTTGATTGAATAGATCCTTAGGGTTACGGTGCAAGGTTGGTTGGTCCGCCTACCCGATATGTAGTCTATGTAATGTAATGTAAAGTAATCATAAACAACAACGGAAATTTTCAATTACATCGGAAGTATAGTTATTACTATCATGAATTGTTTATTACCCGAATTAATAGATCCAAGGCTTCCAAGAGGATAAATATAAATCCTTTATTGGTGATATAAATTTTAATATATCGTTCTGTAGAACAATCAACTGCAAGTCAACTTCATCGAGTTTCCCTCAAGTTTTCATCGTTTGGCAGTTTACCAGCTCAGCCAGATTACTTTCACCTATAAGAAAAAAAAATACTGATGAAATTAATGAAATAAAATATATGATATATAAAATTAATAATAATTTAATTATTTATTACCACATTAAATTATCACGGTTGATTCGAATAAAAAAAAGCGTAGGGAAAAAAAAAGCGTATCTTGAGCATATGCTGAGCACTAGGGGATGTCGGGAACTTTGGACCGGGTTTAGGGCGATGGGCATTGTTAATAGTAAACAGCGTTCTATTCCGGACTTTTTAGCGAGTGTTGATGCTATTAACGACTACTTCCAAACTTCTCAAATAGTTGCTACGGGTGATATGGACACTATTAATTATTATAACTTAAACATAGTACCTGGTGTTACTGAGAAGCTGACATTAACGCTTGCAACTAAAGAAGAGATTTATGACGTACTACTCAATCTCAAATCAAATGCTATTGGTACTGATGGTATTGGTATAAAGATGTTGTTGCTGTGTTGCCCGTTGATTTTGCCTTATATTTGTCATATAATTAACTATTGCATTCAGGGCTCTGTGTTTCCTGACTGTTGGAAAACTGCTCTGATTACGCCAATTCCAAAATCTAGCAATCCCAGCCAATTAAAAGATTTGAGACCGATTAGTATTTTGCCGGTTATATCTAAAATTCTGGAAAAAATTATTGCTGACAGGTTGCGAGAGCACTTAGATAAGTTCAATATTCTACCTATGCGGCAATCTGGCTTTCGTAAAGGATACAGCTGTACTGCTGCCCTATTGGATGTGACCGACGACATTGTTCGTGAGATTGATCAGAAAAATGTCACTATTTTAATTTTACTGGATTATTCAAAGGCTTTTGATACCGTTCATCATAAAACTCTTTTATCTATGCTTCATTACATTGGACTTTCTGATGATTCCATTTTGTTTTTCTGTAACTATTTAACTGGTCGTAAGCAAATGGTAGCTCTAAATGGCAACTTCTCTACTGAATGTGCTGTATCGTCTGGAGTTCCTCAGGGATCAGTTCTTGGTCCAATTCTCTATTTAATTTACACTTGCAATTTATATAATGTACTGAGAAGTTGTAAGGCTCACATGTATGCTGACGATACGCAACTTTACTATTCTTTTAACATCAATGACCTTGCTGATGCACAAAATTGTATAAATTCTGATTTGACAAGATTGGTTGAGGAATCTTCAAAACTTTGCCTTCAATTAAACCCGGATAAATCGTCGGTTATGGTCTTTGGGGGGCGGCGAGCCGTTGGGGAAGTCAAGGCATCTGTGGATCTAAAATTGAATGGCGTTAAGCTAAATATTACTGATGAGTCGCGAAACCTGGGAATCACTATTGATTCTACTCTTAGATTTCGTAAACATGTCGCTTCTCTTCTCCAGCGTGCTTATGCCACGTTGAAGCTACTATATGGCAATAGACAACTGCTTAATCAGCGTCTGAGAGCGCAGCTTTGTGATGCACTGGTGTTAAGCATTTTTAATTATGGGGATGTTCTATATGGCTCCTGTTTAGATGTTGCCGAGTCGTTGCGTGTTCAACGTGTGCAAAATGCATGCTTACGCTTTATATTTGGCATTCGAAAGCGAGAAAAAATATCCCATACCTTAAACTGGGTTGGGTGGTTAAATATGTCTCGGCGTCGTAAATTGCACTCTGCTTGTTTCTATCGAAGAATTATTTTCAACCAAAAGCCTCCCTACTTGTTAAATAAATTGAGATACCGCTCTGACGTGCATAACATCAACATCCGTCGTCGTTCTTCCTTGTCTATACCCCAACATAGA